TAGGTTGGCAACAAAACTGCTCGAGAATGTGTCCAGTTTTACTATCTATGGAAAAGGCTTTGCCCAGATGAGTACAATTGCATCAGGTCGGGCTGGAAAGAAAAAGAAAAGATGGGTGATGATATGAATAATAATGTTCAAGAAGACTCACACTCAAAGAAATCAAGCGTGCCCTGGCATCAACAAAGTTCAGGTTGCAAGTCTTTGATGGATCAGAAGGGGCATAGCGTGGACGATTTTCAAACTGTTGTATATTCCCTAGGGGAAGGAATTGGTGTCAGAGTGAACATGCACAATAATTCTGGAACAAGTGTGAGATCATTGAGTAGCCCCATGTCCTCCAATACTAATTCATGTCAAAACGTCAAAACTGCATACAGCGGACATGAAAAAGAAACAAAGGACATTAAAAACTCTCTTACTAAAATAGAAATCGAAAGTACTTTACTTAGTAGTTGTGCTCCAAACATTACAGTTAAGCCTAAAACATCAGCAAAACAGCAAATTGTTGATGTTAGTAAAGACATTATTGAGGACCAAATGGCTATCATTTCCAATAACTTTGTCACTGATAGGGGAGCAGAGGCAAACAGTAAAACAACTATCCTGAATGATGTCAAGAGTGAACCTTGGGAGTACTGCGTTAAGCAGGAGGTCAAAGAAGAACTTGAAAATACAACCACAGATTTTTCTGAAACAAAAGTCTACATTTCTGAGGTAAGCTAGAAATTCATGCAAAGAAAATAAGCTGAAAAATATCCTTCATCTTGTGAATTAATCTTATTACTTTTGCAGTTTGATGTGGTGAAACTTAATCATGTCAGTAACACGCCAAAGGATGACAATGAAACTGTTGAAGAAGCCCCAATTATTGTCAATAGATCTTCCCACCTTAACGATGACACTGATGACCAAGTTAAAATGGAAATTGAATCTATGATGGCCTTGCATGGAATAAGAATGGAGGATGATGTAAGCAATGAAGCTATAAATAGTGAAACAGGTGATATTCAAACAATCTTTAAAGAAGAGCCACAGGATTGTGACCAGGTATGTTGGTGTTGACTTACTCTATATCTAGATCAACCTTATTCAACAATTAAATTACTGAATTGAAAAAATTAATTCCTGCAGATGAAAGATACTTGCTTATCCCCTCCCACTGCACTAACTGAAGAGCATGTATCAACATCATCTGAGAGCCGTTTGTTTGTCTGTGAACTGGCCGATTGCTCAGCGGTACTATGTGTTTTTGAACTTTACAAAAACTATTTATATGAAAATATATTTGAAATAGTTCGCAGATTTCTAACTGTAATTTACCTTTTCTTTCTATTTTAGAGTTTCAACTCAAGAGCTGCTCTAAATGGACATATTAGAATCCATGGTTACAGGAAATCTCCTCCTCCCAATATGAATGCAGCATCCCAGCGATTGCAGCGACAAGAGTACCACTGCGAAACTTGTGGGAAGTAAGTGTGTACAAGTGGCCAGATGGCCAACCTGACCATCCGTCATTCACATCTCACAGGTAACGGCAGACCGCGTCAAGAGTTAGGCAACTAACGTTGAGTGACGCTTTCTGCCTGCACCCGATTTGAAACAAGCATGTGAGCTGGATTTAATAACGCAGACTAACCAATATTTCACACCAAACAGTAATTTATAATAATATTCATCTAAAATCAACATTGACAATCAACAATATAAAGTCTTGCACTCCCTTGCTTATGTCATCTACATCTCATAGTAGGCCATTTTAATACTTGTATGTGAACCAATTGGCCTATATGTTTAAGGCTCTCCAGACATAAGTTCAGAGTATATTTTAACTATGCTTCATTTATCGAGAACTAACATTATTGACTTTTGCAATAAGAGAGAAATCCCTCATTTGGTTTTGTGGTTTACAATTTTGTGTGTGTGATTAAACTTTGCTTTCTGTCTTTAGTAAGTATTGTGAATGGTATACATCCTTTTTTTTTACAGGACTTTTGCAAAGCTGAAGAGCCGAAATGCCCATATGAAAACTCATAAGCTTTCTTCAGCGGACCTAGCTGAAACTCTAGCTGGACGTGCTACAGGCATTTCTTCCTCTGGTGACCTATCATCTAACTCCAAAGGCTGCAGCACTGGTCTCACCTTTAGCACATGTCTTAATTTTGGGCTATCTCAGAGTGAAAGTGAAGTCCCTAAAGAAATCACATTAGAAGAGGACCCTGAGAGTAAAGATGACACCGCAACTGAAAGAACAACACCTTGCCCTCAACAAGAAAGCACAAGGGATAGCTCCACTTCAAAAGGTAGTTCTGAACCTAAAAAGCGAACTGGATCAAAAAAAGTTCCTGGGTATCGCCCAACTTCTGATTGCAATAGAACATTATCAGGTCCAAACATTTTTCGACCAAACAATTTGTTAGGTGGAAAGCCAACTCTTACTGTGTCATGCACCTCAAGTGTACCAACCCCCAATCCTTTTAATGAAAATGCTACACAATTATCAGCACAAAGTGACAGCAAATCTTCTCCAACTACTACTGTCACTCTCCCTGATGCATCATTTTCTGCAACTGATGATTTACCTAGTAAATCCTTTTCTATCCACCAACACAAATTAAGTAACAAAGCTGTTCCATCTGAACCCCAGAAAGCTTTCCTAAAAAAACTGAAAGCAAAGACAAAACAAAGTCCTTCTGCATTCTGTTCACTTGGCAGAGTTAAATGATAATTATATGACATCCTTTCCATATAAAATATAACTCTACATAAGTAAGATAATTGGTGCCAGTGTATTTTTGTGTTAGATGGTCTTTCAATTCATATGATATATGGTTTGCCTAAAACACGTGGGTTGTGATTGTTTGGAGAGACGTTCCGTTTCTAGGTACAAAGGGCTCTCATATTAAAATCCTTTTTTATACACATTCTAGTCATAGTATTAAAGGTAATGTTTACTCTGTAGTTTTGTGTGATTTTAGCCCAAAGTGACTGCACAATGCTTCCATTCTTACCAGGGATGAATGTGCTGAATTGAAATACGTAAGACCTGATAGCTCAGCATTTAGGGAGATGTTTTTTCATTACATGCTTTTGTGCTCTGAAAAGAATCAGATCGAAACTTTTTATATATTCTGTAATTTGTCGTATGAACATGTTGGTTTGGTATACATCTTAACCGTCTCGCATTAAGAGATGTATGCAATATTTCTGAGCTCTCATTTCTGATGACAATCATATTATTGGAGTAAATTCCAGTCTAGACTAGCAATGTTCATGATACTGTAACATTACAAATTTAATACACATGTGTGAATCTGACTTCTGGAAAAATGGGGTGCATTGAACATATTTCTTGTCTGAAAACACAAATTGAATTATGGAAAATTATTCAAGAGACTGCCGATTATTTTTTGGTAACTAATGAAAGCTTTGCAAAATGTGGTCACCTTGGTGACTCTTCGTACAAATTTTTGTTTTGTTTAAAAATAAATTGTGTATGTATGTATATAATGGTGTGTTGTAGAAAATTTTAAGATAGTAGAAGGCAAATTCAATTTGTCATGTTATGAAAAACAGAGTTCATAGAATATTTTGTTTATCAAATTTACATTTTGAAATATTTGGTTGTGTGTAAAAATACATACCTTCAATTTGAAACACATTTATGTGGACTTAATATAAAAGTTGGAAATGAAGGTGAAAAGTGATCAAGAATTTGCTCATTATCCTTTGTAACTGTATAAATTAAGATATAAAGTGTAATTAAGAAAAAAAGTTTAAATCATACGGTCTATTTTCTAAATATTATTTCTAAATATTGTTTCTAGTTCTTAATGCCAGAAGGCTCTTTTAAACTGAACAAAAAAACAACAACATTAAAACTGGATTTTTTAATTCCATAGGAAGCTGTTTAATAATTGGAATATTAAAACTTACATGTCTCCAGCTCAATTACATAAAATATCATTTCATATTGCTATTTTCTGAAAGTTTAATTGGAGTATTATAAAATGGATAGTTGGTCTTGTTGGCCACCTGTGCTTTTCTAATCCATTCCCCCCTCCTCCCCTTCCCCCCTCCTTCTACAACAGCCCCTTAATATTTGTTGTTGGGATGTTATTTCAATTCCAGTCCTTTTGAATTGGTGGCTATTCTAAAATGTAATGTAATGGAGCTCAATGAGATTTTAACTAAAAACTTTTTTATCTAAACTACAGATATTTATCAACAAATTTTACCTAATAGAATTGATGATCAGCAAATGAGATCTTTTTCTGTGGACACTGCTTTTGTAAAATGAAATCCAGATTGAATAGGTCTTACAAGATCCCTTCAAAGAAATTAGCCTCAAAGCAATGCTCAAACTCTTTCTTGCAGTGTAGGAGCCTCAATAATGTTGTGATATCTTTGCTTTTGACTTGGCCCCTTTGTTCATAATAACATACCTATAGACATATGATCAATTGAATTCAGCATCTTACTGATGCGTTCAGTGATGTTCAAAAGCAAACAGTATTATTTCATGTTTAATGTTGAACACACACATCAAAAACAATGTGTTTGTTTGGAGGCTTTGTGTCATTTGTTGTTCTTCTAGTTTAATAAAATCTGTTTGTATTGTATTACAAAGTTAGCTCTGTCTGATGATGTTCTTGTAGTAGTAGGGTATGTACATTTTGAGTGTTAGTATTAGTCTTTGCCTTTGTTGTATCAAAACGTCCTCTGAAGACTAAGTCAAATCAAAGAGCAGTAGAACTGCTAACTGTAAGGTTGTGTATATTTTAAGTGCCTTTATTCGTTCTTGGAGGTCTTGAGTTGTGCAAAGGGTTATCCACTGTGCAAATCTGTGGACAATCTGTTTTTGCTCGGACCTTTCACAACTACTATTCATCTGATGGCCACTAGGCTCACCAAAAAGTGATAACTTAATTGTTAGTTTTGTGTCTTTCTCTTCTCTATATGAATTAAAAATCTCTTTTATCTATTGTGATAGCCTTTGTCTGTTATTGACTGTCCATATTTTTCTGACAATCATAACGTCAGATGTAGTTTATATATTTAAAATTGATGTTAGTTTGGTGTTCTTTATTTGGGAAATGTGTGTGCATTGAAGTCATATGTAGTTGATATTGCATCTCTATCAATAATCTATCAAGTCAGTTATTTGTGTCCTTGTATGTCACATGTCTTAGATATGTGTCTCCAATGTGCTGATTTATCTTAAATTTTTTAAAGAAAGTTGTTTGCATTTAATTCTGACGCTGGCGACATTGCAAGTTGTTTATGTATCTGTTCTATTTTATATTTGTTGGTGCGCAATTTTGAATATAATTCTTTGTTGTTCCGTTCCAGTGCCCTAGTATAAGTAAAAGTATTCTACAATAATTATTTTCTTGAAAGACATTTGATAAAAATTAGTGGTCAATTAATTGTACTCTCCTTGTGGCACATCACCAATATAACGCGTCGCTATTTCGGACCTCCACTCCACTATAATAGATACCTTCTCTCAATGAGAAGAGAGAGGCTTTGCAATATGCAGGTTGCTTAGTTTGCTTAAGTTTTTGAGTTCAGTTTTTAGGTACTCAGTGGTGTTGCCGAGTGCCATGACCACAAACATCAATTTTTAATATTTGTTCAACCGTAGTAGATGTGATTGGGTGAGGTGGCAAGTTGGCTATGACTTTATGGCAACTCGGAATGGTCCGAACACAGCCTTACTCCCCCCCTCTCTTCCCACTATTACCCTTCCCTCCCCTAAGCTTACCTCTACTTCCCATTTCAGCTTGATTTTACAACTTTTAGAGTTACTCTTAAAAATTATCGTTTAGTGTATGACTGAAGAGTCTTACATCAGTCTAGACAGCTGATTCATTACATTATTTTGTTTGGTAAATTTTGCTCCTCAATTCTGAAATGAAAATACAGAGTATGCAGGAATGTACGGATTTCACACCATATCAATTGCTCTTTACCTTCTTTGAGATTTTCTCCCGCATCCCTCAACCGTCCAAATAATAGATAGTAAATGACTCTTGGAATGGCTTGGAAAAAAAACAAAAAAATTCTTCCTGTGTGCTTTGTACCAAAAATTTTTGGATAGTGTGGTAAACAAAAAACCACACTTACATGTAGATGATGTAGATGTTAGTAATTAAACTTGGATTATTGTGTCAGTAGTATCACACAAAAAACATTATTAATGTATTTCATTTTTCTACAGCATTACCCCAAACGTTCTGTTATGTTTTTCTCTTGAGATGTATTTAAATTGTTGTATGATCACTTTGCACAGTGTTATTTAACTATGTTCAGTACAAGGTATTAAATGTGTTTCTCATAAAACAAATTATCATTTTTTCAGGTTCCTTTTAATTTGACAACCATTATTGTACAAGTTTTGTGTTTACCACTCAAGCAGAAGGGCTAACTGGATTAGTCCAGCAATTTGGGATAATTTTTATGCCAGTAGGCCATTATTGATGAATAACACCCCTTTTCTTGGGCCTACACGCTATGAAGGAGTTTATTGTCATAAGCTGGCCTGTCTGTGATAGAATATTGTCTCCATAAACAAGACACATTTTGATCCGAGCTGAAGCTGGTTAGAAAATGTGTCGATGTTAGTTACAATTTTGTACTAACACTAGTTATGAGCACAGACAGCATGGCTAGTTACAATATTGTCCATAAGCATTTTTTTTAGCGCGACCGCCTGCAAAGCGCTGGGTATGCTAGCCCGCCAGGCAGCTGTGTACAGCCGGCGGCCCGGCCTGGGCGTCAGTGCAAGGCGATGGGCCACATGCTACATCCCCGCGTAGTAGGTATACTGAACGCCTTCTCTATCCTACTTAGATTCGTTGTTAGCTAGTAACCAAACGACAGAGCGTGGTGGAAAGAACGCAGGTATCCACAAATTATCTGGAATGTGATGGAAAAAGATTCCATGGACTTCTCGACATCCTTTCCTTCCTTTGACTCCTCAGTTTTTGTCTGACTTAGTTTTACATGGTTCCCACATTTTAGGTCCTGGCGTTTTCCAGGACTTTTCCAGGGCTTTCCAGACTAAATTTTCAAAATTTCCATGACAATTTACAATGAAATATCAGAGACTAGTGAGACTTAACGATAAAGCTGTGAAAAATACTTTTAACTTTCCCGCCATACTTCAGGTGGGATCATCAGAAGCTTACGAGAATTCCCCCGTTGTCCTATGAGAATTTGAAAATTCATACCTTGATATCAAATTAAAAATAAACTTATCATGTAATTCTAGAAATTTGATTTTTCCAGGACAGTCCAACCAAATTCCAGGAC